TGTTCCTTTTCTATATGTCAAGCGCACATCCTAAATAATTCACATATTTTGTATCATATTTAATCCTCACAAAATGCCATCAAGTTAGTACTATTCATAGGTCCCCCAAGAAAAGAGGAAACGGATACAAACAGAAATTTCCAAAGCCAAGGTCAAAAACTAATTTACTGCCAGGGTAAGATTCAAACTCAATTCATCTGGCTCTAAAGTCTAAGATTTTTATACTATTCTAAAACAGGCTTTTTAAAGACCATATTTAGTTTCTGAATTTGATTCAAAAGGATATTGACACAGCCAGTTTATAAGGTGAAAAAAATTATGTTTCTCTTCCTTCCAAATTACATAATTGATACCACATTTACTATTTATGTTTAATGTTTTGAAATAGGAATTTAAGACTTTTATCACATCTATATAAGGATTCATGTTTGAATAAATATGTATGATCCAACTATTGGAACTCCTGGTTCCTTTCTGCAAGGATGCGAGGTGCTGATCCCATGGGGGCTGTTGACTCACTTTTCAACCCCTGGCACCTCCATAATCCCAGCTGGAAAATTAGGTAAAATGAAAACATGACCTCATTAAGAAGCAGATGCTTCATCTGAGCGGCGCTTTCCCAAGTAAACACATTACAGAGCTTCTTGTGACATTTTTTTAGGATGTGGTGCTGTGTCCCCTTGACCACTGGTCAGTATGGGATCAGAAGACAGAAGCTTGAAATTCTGCTTCATTTGCCCACCAAAATTTAGAAAAACAACCAATTTCCCTCCTGAGGGTAGGATTATAAGGCAGCTGCAGCTGTATGGCAATACCTGAGCTGAGTAAGAAACCAAACCAACCATTTCCTTTAAAGAAAGGTGTCTTCACCTCCGTCATTGCAGATTGTCTAATGTCAGATTTTATAATTCCTTGTGAATTATAAACAAGATGCTCTGAATACTCATTAGGAATAGCAAAGACGAAATTTATTTAATAAAATGTCACTCATTTGCCAGCTTAGAAAGACGATAATCATACTGGAAAAATGATCAGGTGACTAATTGTTTGCTATTTCTGAGTTGCCAGCATAACTCAGAATCTTGACCCTATGAACTTATTGTGACGCAATTTACCATCCAATTTAATAACTCTGTATAATTCAAAGAAGCTCTTTCCTGACATTTCTTTGTGTGATGGGCACTCATTAACAGGACTCTTATATTTAGGACATGATTTAATATTTGTTAAGAAAAGATGAATATTTTCTATGGATATACAATTGACATCCTTGACTCAAAAAGCAAAATACAGCTCAGAAGTGTGCATCACTTGGAAAAAGACTTGTGCATTTGCCTTATTCTCTTAAATTCAGCCTGGCTTACGTCTCTCTCCTTTTTAAAATCTCTTTTGACCTGTAAGTCTAGGTGCCATTGACAAAGCATCCACCACATAGTGGGTTTGGCTCTCAATTGCCTCAGAATTTTCGGTGAGAAGCTTCCAACTGCATCAGTAAGAATTAAAGATTTGCTAAGAAAGACAAAATTGCTGTCTTTTTCGATCTTTTGCTTGTTTGCTGATTATAAACAGTTGCAAATACAAACACTAATCCTTCCCAAAAGCAAGACTTTGGGACTTCTGATTTAAACCCCAGCAGTGAACTGCTGCTAAACCCACCTCTCCCTGTTCCTACTTAGGAAGCTTTCATGACCTCAAATCTCTGTTTTAACCCTTCAGAATTGCTTTCAATCTTCCCCTCCTTTCTCCTCCAATACTCTGACTCTCCAAAAAGAAATACTTTTCCATTCCAAAGGTAAAAATACAATTTCTGCATGGGATTCTTGATTCCATCCCCTCTCAGTTAGCTCTGTTGGTCTGTATTGTTCTATAAAAACTCATAATAAAATAAAATTTAATGTAAACAACAGATTCCTCTAGGCATGGTCAGCATGTTGTATTCTTTAAGTGTGGCATTCCTCTCTAGGGCAGGAATGTCTACACCCCATCTGCGACCAGGGATCCTGAGGGCTGATTGTTGAAGAAGTTCTTAATCACCAAACCACTATCCATTTTATATATCTGCGTGTGTGGTATATAAACAGACTCTCTTTAAAAAGGCAGATATCCGAACAGCTTAATAGTATAAATTTTGATTCAGCCGGGGCCTTACATTTTCAATTTCCTGGATTCTGGGTTTTCTTTGATAATAAGCTTTTGGTACCATATTGCGCTATCTAGAATGTGAATCTGCTTTAAACTAGCTCATGCTTTTTTATATGTCTTGCAATTTTGAGGCTCAACAATATTGGCCAGTTTGAAACTCGTGGTAAATGTCTTAGTGTAATTTATTGGAGATTTAAATTGGAAAACACCCCTCCTTTTGCTGTGCCCAGATTTTAGTATGTCTGTCACATCTTTCCTGAAGAGCATCCAAATATCCCTCTCATTGATCTGCCCTTTCATATCCTGTCCAGCTCCTGAAGGGAAGTCACATGGGTCTCTCACTGTGCCCTGGTTCCAGCTACTCTGGAACTGGCTGCCTGTTTCTCTGGGTGCTCGAATGTTCTTCAAGTTGCCCGTGGCTCTCATTACCCTTGAGAGAGCATGCTTCTCCCAGACACCTGACAGACTTTCCTCATAGAGGGGACAGAACCTTCATTTGTCTTCAAAAAAGTCATTTTCTTTCAGTTGACCCTTAGCAGTCTGTTTCTGCCTGATTTGGGTGATCTTAAATTCACATCTCCTTTAACCTCTTGCCAAGGTACAACTAACATTTTTTTTATGCAAAGGGCATACAGGAGGGATTCCCTGTATACATCTTTGGTGGCAATTAAGTTACATTGATAAATTAGTAAATTTGGGGAGCATAAAATTTATAACATTATGCCAAGTAACATGCCAAAGGTTTTGTACAACTATGCCAATAGATTTAACATTAAACTGTCTTGCTTACATAATTTAAATCTTTAAAATTATATGCTTCACCTCTCTGTACTCTCTTGGGCCCCTCCAAGTGAATTTAGTGTTTGCCATATGGCCAATATTTTAAATCAGAATTCCTAAATCTACCCTCCAAATGAAGCAAAAAGCCCTCAATGAAATGATAGCAATGCATATGGAAAATACTATTTATTTATGTAGATTTATAGGAAAAGACTATTATTCCATTACATAAGTATGCGTATCTTATGAAATAGGATTCAAAAGTCACACTTTAAAATATTAAACCTGGATTCAAATAAATATTATATTTCAGAGGTCACTTTGGGGCAATCTTCCTTTCTCTTTTATGCCAGAGGGAAAATCTCGAGTGTGAAATTTCCACACAAATATGCCATTTGTCCTTGTTAGCTGCCAAATCTACATTGGGAAGCTTGGGGAGGCACAGAGGGCATTATCCACAAGTGTTTGGTGTACTAAATACCTTTAAGTAGTTTCTCATAGGACATAAGTGAAAGATTCTGTTTCTTCTTTGAGCTGTGCCTTCCCTTGAATTCTCAACTTCCTACTCAAAAATTGGAATAGCCCCTGGAATTTTCCTTTGCATGTTATTTGGGACGTACTTTATACACTATAAGGCACATTTATACAAACAAAACCATAAGTGGTGGTGGGACAGTTTCCCAAAGAAAACTTACTTGCCTAATAAATACTATTGAAGTAAATATCTGAATAAATAGCATAAAAATGCGGAGACTTGGAAGGTCACCGAGCCCTCACCACTTAATTTCAGTCATAACAGCCGGCAGTTGCTTGGTGAACAATTTTGTTATGAGGTGTTGGTGATTTAACAAGTTGACCAAAAGTAGTCAGAATTCAGAATAAAAATTTTCATCTCTGTTGGATTTTATTGGTGTGTACTGGACACTTTGATAGTGGCCAACGTTTCTGCACTTGGCATTCAGGAATCCAAGAAGAATACAGTCAACTTCCTGTAATATTTTCTACATTCTTTGCAGTCGTTTGTATATGGTTCTAGAAAGCTTTGCTAAAACACTACTGGGATGATTTGCTGTTCACTTTTTAGAGTTTCTACTGACTGCTCAAACTACTGTGGCAGATTGTTTTAAACAATTTTTTAGATTTAGTAGAGAATAGCATTTTGTCCTTAGATTTTGTGACAATTGATTTTATGTAATAAAAAACTACTCAGATTATAAAAATGTGATTATGCTGTGAAGTAATACCGAGTTTGATAGAATGAACATGTGGCATTGGCTGGTATTGCAGAGAACATGTTTGGGAAGCTTAGGCGCAGATACCACCTGGCTGAATGATTTTAAACAATCACATACCTTCCTAGTATTTGTTTTGTCTTTCAGCTCTAACACTCCATGAATGTCTTGGTATTTTAGACATTTCCTAAATTTAGACAGGTGTGTTTTCAAAATAGTATATCTGTGAAAATAGTACACATTCACAACTCACTAAATCACTAAAAGAGATGAACGGGTGTATGGAACCAAGTTACATGGCATGGAACTTGCAAGTCCCTCGTCTCACTTCATGCTTTATTCTCCCTCTAGTTCTCTCTTATTCTGTTTAATTGACTAAGAAAATAGAACTTTGACACTCAACAACCATCTACTATGGGCTTGTAACTTGCACAGCATTAAGTTAAATACAGAGATTTCAACGGTGTATGGGGGGAAGATATACTTTGATCTCATGGGGTTTGATGAGAGAAGGCAGAAAATTAGACAATCAAAATAATATGTGGTGAGGGTTATGACATAATCCCACAGTTGTCTCACAAACTCCAGATTCTAAGGAAGGGTTTGTTTCTACATGTCATTGAGAACATATGTGATCCAGATGAATTATGGGAACATCGATTCTCAGTTTAATTTTTTCAGTTTTCATCTGGATAGTCACTTCTACACTAACTAATTGGGCAGCTTTTATTTTCCAGAAGGCAGTTAAAATGAAGTCATCTACAACTGGTGGATAAAAAAATCAAGCACTAGGACAATTGTCATGGTAAAATCCATAATTCGTACTTCCTCTGTTCTTTCTCTTAGGACACCTCCTTGGCCTTTCCCATGATGATTCCAAATTCTGTGAAGAAAACTTTGGTTCCACAGAAGATAAGCGCTTAATGTCTTCCATCCTAACCAGCATCGACGCCTCCAGACCCTGGTCCAAATGCACTTCCGCCACTATCACAGAATTCCTGGATGACGGCCATGGTACGTATCATACAGGTCAACGTGAGCCCAGAAGCTCAGCTCAGGATTCTTAGGAGTTTTGCTTCATTATCTCTTTGTAACATTCACCTTGCCCTCTCAGAGAGTGAGTTGTTTGGACAGTGTCAGAAAGAGGAGCGAGGAAATTGTCTGCTGATGTGTAATGCGGACACCCTGGGTGGCATTCTAGCTATGGTATTTTTGCTTTTGAATTGAAAAAGTTCAAAGGAGAGGCAGTGTGGGAGACCACACAGAATGCCCAGCTAGTGCCCTGAAAGCCTGACTTTTATTCCTTCTTCCACCACTAACTTCCTGTGAGAACTTTGGCAGATATCTTGGTCTCTCTGCTATTAATCTGACTCTCAGAATCACTTGTTACATGCCCATTACAGGGGCGTGGTTAAGTTGTAGGTGACAGGTCCACTGGTTTCCCTTTACCGCAACCTAAAGCCAGGAAAGGAAGCGCTCTACATTGGCATTGACTAGAAGATTTTGGTTTCATCCCGACAGCAGATTCTCCTGAAAGTGCAGTGAAAACTGCAGAACAGAAATAGAAAGGCGATTGGAATGACGGGAATACGCCTTCAGAACTTCAAAGGAAAATCTTTGGCTTTATCCTTTCGATACAGTTCAAGAGCACAGAAGACTTTATTAAATTCAGTAAGACTAGGATTAGTGCTATAAATGATATAAAAATACTCAGGAAGTCACAATTTTTAGAAATAATAAATACTGACCTCTAAGTCATCTTTGAAACAACTGTCGCAAATTTCCCTGCATTCTTTATTACTTTAAAGCAAAAGAAACACAGGAGGGGAGATGCATTAAGGTAGGAAAAGATCTTCAGAGATCATGTAGCTCAAGCTTTTTATCTTGCAAAAATGGACACATTCTCTTCTGCTCTTTTAAAATGTGTCTTCTCCCCCCAACAATTGTGATTAAATCGAATATGAAAGAAAATTCTTGATCACAATAATTTTTCATAAAAATTATCTCACAAGGTTGAATACAGAGAATCTATGATAGCTGTGTTTTTTTCAGTTCCATAGAGTTTATGACAGTATTTTCATAATCTCTTAGTTTGTGGACCATCTTGAAGTTTGGCTACAGAGGGTCAAAACAATTGAAAAATTCCATTCATCGGCTC